TCGCTCTTCTCTCTCTCTCTCTCTCACACACACACACACACACACACACACACACTGTGCAGACATGGGAAAAGGTGGAGTTTGTGACTCAGTGAATCTATAGTATTCTGTTACAGCAGCGGAGCTGATTAATACAGGTGTGCAACAATGTTTGCAAGGCATGAAGTGCAGTGATGTTAGGATGGGTGAGGAACAAAACAAGAGACTGGGAAAAGTCGCAGCAGCAGGCCTAGTAGCCAGAGCAAACAAGAGGAACAACTTGACCCTGAAACCCCAAGAGCAGCACAAGCAGCTCCCAGGGGCCCCTGACTGATCACATAGCCAATCAAAAGCAAGGGTGTGGGATTTCAAGTTTAACACAATCTGAATTTGGAATAGTGAGGAACAGCTAAAGAATTGGAGAGTAAAAGTCCAGAAAAGTTAGCTGGGTAAGCAAGAGAGTACGGTGTCTTAGAGGAAAAGTGAAAGAAAATCATCAAGGTGAATTTAGTGATCAATTAAATGCTGAAGTCAGGACAATGAATGGAGGAATAACTTGTGGAACTGGCAAGGGACAGCTCATTAGAATTTAGCAAGGTCATTTCAGTGGTGTCATGAAGTCAAAAGCCCTGAATGGCATGAGCAAAGAAGAATATCCAGGAAAGAGTTGAGTAATGGAAAATTCTTTTTCTTCCTAGCTTTATTGGTAAAACTTAGGAGTTTTGTTGTAGGGCAACAGAAAAATGGGGATTGTAGCAGGAGGAATTTTCAAAGCGGAAAGATTAATGGGGGCTTTGCCTTTGAGTTTTTTTATGTGCCAAGACTTCTCCCTTAAAGGCAGAAAATTATGCTGATATAAATCATAGAGTAATGGTTCTGCCTGACAGCAAAGGAATGGTCTATCTTATCACTTATACCATATTACAGTTGGCTTTGAGGTCTAATTAGGATTCATTTGCTCACATGGATGGCTGCATAATCCAGCAGAAGGTATAGAAATCAGCTAGTTTCCTAATCCAAAGCTTCAATAAATCAGACCATCTGGAGGTCAATTTTTGCATGTGCATGACTTTGTCCACTAAAGATGGGCAATGATCTAGAACAGTGCTTATCTAAAGGCAAGGTTTAAAATGGGCATTACAACCTATTCAGCTTCCCAAAGTGTAAGTGCTCAGATTAGATTGATAGGAATTCACATCTTCTCCAAAAGAAACAAGAAGATGATAAAAATTAAAATAAGACAGTAAGTAAAAGAAAATACCCTAGAGAAGAAAAGACAATTAAAAAGGGGGCATGAAAAATGGAAACTACCAATGCTGTAAGAATTTCTTTCATTGTCTCTTCAGTAGGAAATGATTGGCTATGGAGCAGTTACTAAGTGTAGGGTGCTTAATAATTGAATTTTCAGAGGTAAAATTAGGTTTTACATCTTTATAATCATACCTGAAAGGGTTGGCAGTTTGGGAGATAGATGCTTTCTTAAAAAACAAAATCTTGGAATCTAGCATTAAATGTGAACTTTTCCCTCATGTAGATTTTAATGCAGGCTCAGGACCTAGATCTAACCATTGTCAAATACCTGACCACAAGAAAAACCTAAACTGTCAAGGGAACATTTTATCATTCAACAGCCCTTTAAGTATTTTATACATCAATAGTATCTTCAATAAAAGTTACAAAAAATCCTAATCTACGAAGAAATAATATATTGTAAAAATGCTAACAAAGACATGTAGAAATACAGGACAGGGACTATAAGGATGGCTCTCATGAAAAGTCCTCTATAAATCTTGAAAATTTGATAGCCTATACTTTTGAAAAAGGCCTTTTAGGGAAGTGTCTACACAGTGAGAGAGCAACTCCACTACTCTGAGGCACAGTAATTTTTCTTCCTCCATACAGAGGCAATAGCATATCAGCTTCCTGTTCTAAGCAATGAATTAGATGTTATTTTTTAAATAACTTATAAATTATAGATTAGCACTTAAGTTTAATTGTATTGTGAAATTGTGTTTGTGGTTAGGATGCTGGGGAGGAATGGCTCTCAAACCTAGGAGAGGTCTCTTGGGGTTCCTAGAGTTTTGATGAAGAATAATTAAATTACAGCATCTGATACAGGTATGAGGAGGTCATTGTCAGAGAACTAGGCAATGTAATTGCCTCAGATGTTTGGGGCCTTACAGACATCTCACACTAACTTTCTACTTTATTGCATTTTCTTGTATTCTTGGCATTCTACATACATGGTCCATTTAATTCTTCACAAATCTATGAGGAAGGGTTTACACCAACTAGCATTTGGTCTTTTTACCCAAAATCACAAGCTACTGTATACAAATTGAATAATGTAAACAATAACATCAATTATAACAAATGATCCCATCTATTGAGCTCTATAAAGTTATGTAGTCAAGTGCATTTAGCATTTGCCAGGAATTCAGTCTTTCACTTGTTTATTTAACACATAAGAGGCTTCCAGTATTTTTAAGCCATGTTAAGCACTGGAGTTGAACAAGTCAAGAAGAATGTCCAAACACACACACATAAATGGAATTTTCTGATGATTAATTTAGTGCATTTTATACATAGAGCAGATACATCTCTGCGAGGTAGGTATTTCCACTTGTGATAAGGAAATGGATATTCAGAGAGGTGAAGTAACTAACTGATTGGTCACATAGCTGGTATGTTCCACAATGAAATTTTTAAACGCAGGTTTTCTGCATGGGTAAGTGGCCATCTGCTTAGCATAAAGATTAAGATCAGGGGTTTTAGATTCATGTACAGACTTTCCTTATAGATATTAAAACATAAAAGTCACTGTATATTATTCCTTATAATCTTTTTCTGGGTAAACTCCTATCAACGTTTTTTGAGAGACTATCTCAGGATTCCCCATAATGTTAGACTCTGATACTTCATAGTTAATTTGGCCTGTGAACCAAAGGAAAAGTATCATAGACTGGCTGAAATATCTGCAAACAGAAGGTAAAGTTGGTGAGACAAAGACCCTTAGATTGCTTCCAGTTCTTGATGTTAGTGCAGCCATGAAATGGCCAGCAATAAAACAGCCATGCTGCTTCTGAAGCCAGAAGAAATCCCCAAGATCAAAGTAAATAAATCCAAGCTTTATTCAGTTGATCCTCTTAATAGGAACTTTCCAGCTTCTGGGCTCTGGATTAAATGGTTTTTGCTTTGTTTCAATATCCCAAGGATGCCTGTGGTCCTGAATACCATCATGTCAGCCTAGGGCTTCTAAGAGAGATTGGGAGAGTCTTCAGCAAGAACAGGCTATCTCCCTGGGCAGAATTTTCTTGTTATTGTGGTAAACAAAACAAAGAGGGGCCTAAATAACACAACTGTTTGTTCATCCCAAGAATTATGGTTCTTTATGAGGAATCTAACAGTGTAGTGCAATCTATCTTTTCAAATGATCTATGCAAAGTGGCTAGTGACATTAATTTACTGCAGCTTTGGACTAGCTACTACTAAACATAATATGTCAAAATGGTTAACTATAAAGTCATGACTTTTTTCCTTGTTTCTTGAGCTCTATGGGCAGTACCTGTGCCCATCAGGTCCACAGGACTCATAATGGCCTTCTTCTAGTCACTGATAAGCACAGGGCTCTGAGTTCCTTGGAAGTCATGCTACCATGACCAGAGTCAATATGCTTTAACAGGGGAAACAGCCTTTCCAACTAGATCTGCTAGTACAGGATTCACAGCTCCCCACCCTGCCTTCTTGTTTCTAAGTTTCTCATTTTCCCTTGTCTCAGTTCATAAAAATAACTGAGAAATGACCACAGTCATTAAATTTTCAATTGTCTGGATGGTCACAGATAAAGGCAAAGTACTTTCTAATAGGTCTATCATGGTTTCTATTAAATTTGAATCATTTCCCATCATAAATATCCATATTTTAATTCTTTAAGAAAAACAAATATTTTAGGACTGAGAAAGTCAAAGGAAATGATAATATGGAGTGAGACATCCTTCATTCTCCTAGAAAGTAATGGAAATAGCTTCACAATATACTTGTCTCCTTTCTAAACTGCACACTTAGAAGTAGCTGCTATCTTGACCATGTGATATATGAGAACCACACCTTGTCACCAAAGGTCTCTGACATCCATCCTCACCTTATTCCATCCCAGATTAACAGGTTTAATTGCTTGCTATCCTCACAGACCCTAGACATTCAGATCTCCCAGTCCTCTCCCTTCCTGGGGATCAGCCATTAATCTCTTGCCCTTTCATCTTCCCTACTCATTTACTCAACAATGTGCATTCAACACCAATATGGTAAGCACCATCCTTAAGCTGATTATAAATAATTGAACAAAATACCCCTGAATCCTGGCCTCTGTGGCACTTGAATCCTATCAGGCACTTATGGAAGTAAGTGGTTATTCCACCCTTACCATTAGTCCCCAGGAAATGCACTATATGGAAGTTATAGTGAACAGATTCCTTAGGTTTGATAATATCAGACTTTCTTTGCTCAAAGCAGTGACATACATGAAGAGACTCAAGATGAAACCACCACTCTCTAAGCTGCAAATAAGTGCTAGATAAATTCAACATGCACAGTGTTGTTGTATATGTTTCTCCATCACCCACCTCCCTTTCTATTTCTTGATATAGGAGCTGGTTAATATTAAATTTGGGAGAAGGCAGCCAGTAGTAAGGTGAACATAGTTTACTACAGTTCTTCCTTAGACTTTATAAATCAAGTGAGAAAGAAAAATCTAGTAGGGAAAAGGAGAGATGTGCCTATACAGATAGATAACATACATCCTATCAGTGTGGCTAAGTCCCCTGAGTAAGATGTCACATTATATACGAGTCTGAGATAGTTCAGCTACAATGAGATAGAACGATGAGAAGATTATCAAAGTAATACTTTGACAGACTCAATCTCCAAAACCAATAATTATAGAGGCTGAGAGGGGCCCATAAAAGGGCTTGATAGCAACAGAGTTCAAAAATTAACTCTCCGCCACTACACCTCAAACACTCTCAGACCCACAAGTGGCACACTCTTTTCATGTGCCACCAGGTCCTTCTATTCCAGGAAATATCAACCCTCTTCTGCTGAAAGCGCTTTAGGAGGCTCTGACGGATCTGCTTAGATTTGATACAGTACACAATGGGGTTCATGAAGGGTGGAACCAAGAAGTGCAGGTTGGCCATGAGTACAGCTAGGGCAGGGTAGCTGTGCTTCTCCACTCGATGTAACACAGACAGTCCCAGTTTGGGCAAATAAAAGATGAGAACAATGCAGAGGTGTGACACACACGTGTTGAGTGCCTTGAGCCGTTCCCCAGAAGATGCAATGCTCATCACAGTCCGTAAGATCAGGGCGTATGAGAGCATGATGAGAGAGGAGTCAAGGCCCAAGGAGAGGAGGATGGAGACCAGGCCAATCAAGCTGTTGGTCTGGGTGTCCGAGCAGGCCAATCCCACAAGGTCACAATGCAGGCAATAGCAATGAGACAGTGCACTGATCTGGGGGAAGAGCAGACGCCGCAGGAGGATGGGTCCAGGGAGATTGAGCAGAACAGCCCTTACCAGAACAGCAACACCCACTTTGCCCACTGCTGAGTGGGGAAGTAGTGTGGCATAGTGCAGAGGGTCACGGATGGCAATAAAACGATCAAAGGCCATGGCCAGCAGCACCCCAGATTCCACATAGGTGAAGGCATGGATGAAAAACATCTGTGCTGCACAGAGATCAAAGGGAAGCTCTCGAGCACCCAGCCAGAAAAGCCGCACCATGGTGGGGAAAGTGGAGGCACAGAGGCCCAGATCAGAGGCTGCCAACATGGACAGGAAGATATACGTGGGTTCATGTAATGCTGGATCTGTACGGATCAGGAAGAGGATAATACTGTTACCCAGGATAGAAACCACACAGATGAGGTTGATGGGGATGGAAACCCAATGCTGAGAGGCTTCCAGGCCTGGAAAGCCAGTGAGGAGGAAGATAGAGTGACCAGAAGTGCTGGTGTTGCAGGAGAACATAGTCATTCCAGGAGGAAATTGTCTGTCTTAGGAATAAAAGGTACTTGTCATTATTTATAGTCTCTACTAGGTGTGGGCCATGAAAAAACTCCACTTTCCTATGGAGCTCCTGACTATATAGTTTTATTTCACAGTTTGCTTGATTTTCTTTCTCTTTGAATATAGTAGGATGGAATACCTATTCTGAGTTGATCTGTGCTTATTATTTATGGCTATTTCTTCAGCCACTCAGCAGCTACCTCCCCTTGGGCCTAAAAAAGCCTCCATTTTTTTTTATGTTTGTTTTGTTGTTACTTGAGCCAAACATCTAATCTTTTAAACATTTTTTTAATTTTTTGATTAATACATAATGATTACATGTTTACAGTATGATACATGTATACAGTATGTACTGATCAAAATAGCTTCTTTAAATGCTCAGTGGTGACAAAGTTCTCTCCAGTGAAGATGAACTGGCTTAAGGGAAGTAGTTAATAGTTCTTCAAAGCTAAGCATAGTAAAGAAAATGGCAGTTTGACCGAAGTATTCAGTTTTGATTATGTTTTTTCCCAAGCCTACCTATACCTCATTGGCTGCTTAAATAGCCTGTGCCCATGAACTCAATTAAAAGAAAATTTCCTCTTTAATATCTTTTTTTCAGTCTTCTTACTGGTTTTTTGTTTCAGCCCTCAAAAGCTGTTATAACAGGGCCAACTATTTGAAGTTCTCCTTAGTTGGGGGCAGAAGGCTGAGGTTGATAGGCCTTCACGGCATCACCTGAAGAGTCAGCCAAAGCAGCATGAGCTTCTAGAATCACAGAATTAATAATGTTCTACGAAGGAGCCCGAAGTGTAACGTGTGAGCTTGTCTCTACTCATAAACTCACAAAGCCCTTTCAAGCTACATGTTCTCTCTAACTTCTCTTCTCAGAGCAGACAGTATCTCCCTTTGTCTACTAAGCATCCCACAGGTTTGCATTTGATTGAATATCCTGAAGAACCACAAACTCTTAATTTCTCTCCTCTTTTCACAAAGCTCACCATTCAGTACCTGTTGGTTCATGCCTCCTTTTCTTTCTAATTATACAGGAAATACCTAGAAAAAAATTATATGTCCTTTTACTGTGTATCATCTCTCCAAGTCAACTATCTTTAAACAATCCCCTCCTTTCAGATCCATTCAAGCTAATCTTAGTGAATCATAGTCATTTTCCTGGATGGTAAAACCACTTAACTATCCTACTTTCTTCATTTTTTAGGTTCAGATTCATCTAACAAATTTAAGTAAGAATTATTCTCAAAATTTATGAAAAGACAAGCATAAAACATTTAAATTATTACATGTATAAAAACAAATGGTGATCAATTTTTTAGGTTGATGTTCCCATCCTAACTTTGTTTAATGATCACCAATCATTCCCTGTACCTGTAGGATCAAGCCTAAGAAAAATCTTCATACTGAATCCAGAAGAAGCCTTGTCCATCCTATCTTTGTCTCTGGTTTTTACAATCACCTTTCTCTTAAGTATTATAAACTCTTAAAACATCTTTCTACTCACCAAATTCAACATATTTGATCATTTTAAAACATCTGGGTGCAATATAGCATACACATCGAAAAGTCTACTAAGTATAAAGCTTGTTGAATTTCAACAAAGTGAATACAGCTATTTAATGAATACCCAGATCAAGAAACAGAAGATTTAAGAATGGGACTAAGGTATGAAGGAGAAAAATGGAGGGGATGGACCAACTTGAGATATAATACATATATACATGAAATGTCATAATGAAACTCCCTATATAGATATCTTAAATGAATAAAAATGTCTTTTTTCAAAAACAAAGGACAGGAAGCTAAAACAGGTCCTGTCTGGGGGTTGGCACCAGTGTGAGGGAGCAGACATAAGGAGAGGGTAAAGGAGAGTAAATATGGCGGAAATATTATGTACTCATGTATGAAAATGGAACAAGACCTGTTGAAACTATACTAAGAAGGAGGGAGCCTCTTGGCTTAGAGGGGGTGAATTTAACTAAGATATATTGTAAGAACTTTTGCAAATGTCACAATGTACCCCCAGTACAATAATAATATAATAATAAAATTAAATTTGAAAAAAGAAACACAAGACTGTCAAACTCCCACAAAACTCCCTATGATCCCTTCTAGTCACTTTATCTTCTTAATGATAACCACTACCCTCACTTCTAATACCACAGATTAATTGTACCAATTTTGAACTTTATGATCATACAGTATATATAATTAATTATAATTATGATTAAATATGATTAATTATAACCATATAGTATGTCCTTGTTTGTGTTATATGCTCAACTTTACATCTATGATACATCCACATTGTTGCATGTAGCTGTAATTTGTTGTCATTGCTGCACAGTTTTTCCATTAGAGAATATACCACAACATATTTATCCATTCTGTCATTGGTAGACATTTGAATAATTTCAGGCTTAGAACTAGTATAAATAATACTGCCAAGAACACTCTAGTATATGTCTTTTGTGAGCATATGCATGCTTTTCTGTTGTGTATATGCCTTCCTAAGAGTTCTATCATAGCTCATGCATGTATTCAGCTCTAATAAATTCTTCCAAACAGCTTTTAAAGATTATTGTACCAATGCATACCCACACTAACACTGTAAGAGAGTTCAATTGTTCCACATCCCTATGAATACTTTGTGCTGTTAGCCTCTTTAATTATAGCTATTCTGGGTGCATAGTGGTATTGCCTTATAATCTTAAGGCACATTTCCGCTATTACTAATAAAGTGAGTACCTTTTCATGTGTTTTGTTGCTATTTGAAAATTTTCTTTGTGAAATTCTCTTTAAGTCTTCTACTCATTTTCTATTGAGTTGCCTGCATTTTTCATATTATTTTGTATGAGTTTTTTTAATATTCTAAATAACCACTGTGCAATTTATGTTAAGTGAATAAGCCATTTTCTAGCCCCAAATCTTATGAATGTTCTGTTACCTTTATAGACTTCAATTTCCTGAGTCTGTTTTCCTATCTGTAAAATCTTTGTATATGAAATAGTCAGATGCCTCACACAGTATCTAATGCAGAGTACACTTCAAATTGTAGCTCACTTCCTCATTTAGAGAAAGTGTAGGGCTCTTTGGGGGCATTCCCACTTAATGGAAACCCAGAAAAATAGGCCCTGGAACAAGATCAAAATTCTATCATTCCCTGAAACATCTCTTTAGTGAACTAAAGGGATACAATTGACTGAAGGAGGGTTCACAGAGGGAGTCATTTTACTTGTCTGAACCTTCCAGGCTGAATTCACGCCTGTGTTGCTCTGCACATGTCTCTGTCATACACATCATGCCACACAGTAATCTTTATACATAAGTCTAAGCAACTATCAAGTCAGGACCACACTGTGTAACTGCAGGGGGCACCATACGCATTTGCTGATGCACATGAATGGGCCATACAGGACCCAACTCCTCCAGCAGCTAGGGTTTTCAGCCTGTGTTTTCATAGAGCGTGGCCCTGGTCATAAGCCAGAAACTGCATTAATGACTCTGGTGGGAAATCAGATAATGGACATGACAACAGTGGAAGGAAGTACTGAGTGTGATGGTGCACTCACAGAAGCCAGGAAAGGCTACTCAGGTGGGGTGCAGAAAGAAACACCTTGTGTCTTAGAGCAAAGATTGTCTTCTTATAATCGTACACTTAGCATAGTGCCCACCACAGTGTCATATAAGCTTGTACCAACCTTTTGTCCACAGTAGGCCAAAGTGACAACCACATGTCCACAGTCCCAACTGAAGAAAAGGCAGACAGCTGTCTTTTCAGAAACCTGGCAATGTACATATCTCTTTTCTCTATGGTTCCTAAGGACCATACTCACTGTGGTAGAGTTAAAGCCACCCCTATCTGCCCCATTGTTTTTCCTTTTTGCCATGCTTCTTGCTTTCTGATACTTCTTCCGGGTCCTAAGTTTATCAAATAATAGTAAGAATCAAAAAGTAAATGTTTGTCCCTTGCACATGACTTTTTCATATTACCTTACTTAGTTCCCTAGTCCTATGGGATATTTTTCCATTTTGGGGTAAGGAAATTGGGGCTGAGAGGGGTTAAGTGGCTTTCCCAAGGTCATGAAGCTACGTGGTAGAGCCAGGATTTAAATCCTAGTTGGCCTAAACACAAAGGCTATTCTCTTACTGGCATCACATAAAGAAAGAGCATCTATCAAATCCTTTGCCCACAGGATAATTTAAAGCCAGTTTTTCTGTCGACTCGCTCTAACTCTATTTCCCTTTAATGAAGATGCAGAAGTTTGAGACCGAAGCAAGTTTACCCCTTAAGAAGAACAGTCTCCAAACCAATCCAGCCGCACAACCTACTTCCCGTTACTCACAGTTTTTTCTGTCTTTTCACACATATTGTGTTTCATTCTCTAGAGGCAGTGCTGAAGCTACAGTCCCTAACCCAGCTGCACCCAAGACCCAAGAATGAGCAGTGTCTGATACAAAGGAGACTGCATCCTCCTCTTACTGCTCCAATACTGTGAGAAGACAAAGGAGTTCACTAAAGAGCTATGTCCTTTTCACATAATTAAAGAACAACACTGACCTCACAGAGTGGTTGTGAACATCGAAAAAGCTGTTTTGCACATAGTAGGCACTTACTAAAATGTAATGGTAACCAGACACTAGCCTAGGATGTCACAGCCCGTATCTTATGAAGTCTTCCTCCTTCAAAGCCTTTGAGTGACATCATCTCCTCTCTACATATGAGGAAATGGAGTCTGAGAGATGAGAAATACAATCAGTGGCCTCATTAAGAGTAAGCTGAAGAAATGCCATTTGACTCCAAGGCTCATATATTTATCTGTTCCTCAGAAGTCTCATCCCTAAAATATTTTTAAAGTATTTTCTCTCGATGGTTATAAAGATTAGATGAGAATATGTTATAAATGATATAAAACAATGCTTTGCACATAATAAGCAGTAAATGGCTCCTAATTATTGAGGATTCACCACCCTGTAAGGTGGT